GAATTTTCTCCAAACTTGCATAAACATGATCTTAAATTCAGAATCTTTTTCTTTACGTTGATCAAATTTTTCATACTTTCCTTTGAATATAATCCATTCTTGCTGTAATAGGTTAGTAACAGTTTTTTTTCCATCTCTAAACTGTTGATGTAACAACTCCCAATGACCAAGTAAGTTTTTAAGCCTTCGATGAGTATCATTCAATTGCGTATCATAAAATCTTTTTGAATGAGACAATAAATTGTCATACATATGTTGTTGTTCTTGTCGTGTGCATTGAATTAACATTCGTGAATAAGCCTCGAAAAATGGTTTATGGATAAAAGAGAGTCGAGATAATAACCAAGGATGCAACTGCCAAACACCAGATTCTAAGGAAGTTGTTGAACTTAATAATTGTTGACTCGTATCAATGTTAGCAAATGAAGTAATCCAATTCAGCAAAATATGATTCAATTCAGAAGAAATTCGCAAATCCACTTCATTTGGTTGAAATGATAATATCGCTGCATGGAAGATGATCTCCTAATAAAAACATGTCAAATGTAACATATGTGAAACAAGGTTACAAAAAGGTTTGATGTATAGATGATAATTCTCCTCACCATTCCATCAGATGATTGAGTTGAATGATGTAAAACATTATTAATTTGATCAATACCATCGGAATCAATTTGTCCATCATTAAAGAATTTATCAAAATCTTTTAAGAGTAATCTAGCCGCAGCACGTCTTGTAGTAGTTGTATGCAAAAGTTTATAAGAATATTCATGTTTCAGCGCGATCATACCTATAATAGAGAAATAATTACGCACAGAAATCTTAATTATTTCATTGTAAAATTACACATACCAGGAACTTGTTCCTTATTATGAGATTTTATTTGAGATAATCCTTCTAATAAAGCCATTTGAATTCCAGCTAGGACGTCGGCCATTGCTAAAGGTTTGGCGAACATTTGTACATCCTATGGTAAATTTACGTTTAAGTGATAAGGTATAGTATAAGGCAAAGGTATCACAAGATCATACCTCAGCAATATTTTCTTGTTTTGAAAATAGACCATAGTTCAGAAATTCATAAGTATTCAAAACATAAAAGGACAATTCACTTGGCAAATAAATGTTTCTTAATAAAGTTCTATAAAATAAATGGTATGCGCACTGAAATTCGGTTAAAGGTGGAGGCAGAACGCGACGTTCAGCTTTGGCTTTTGAAACTAGTTTTTTATGCAAAAGTTCAGCGTCTTCATCGGATATCATAAACAAGGCATTTTCGACGTCGAAGGCGCATTGAATAGAATTTTGTAAATATTCAATATTCCATTGATTTACAAAAGAAGTTTTTGCAATATGATAAATTTCAGAAAATTTTACTAGTTGATTAAACAAATTTTCATTTTCATGCATTGTTTTTCAGCATTCTACATTAGTCCTTCTTCAAGTATATCGATATATTTAAAAAATGCTTCGCGTTTGTGTGACGTTACTTCTATCTTATAATTTTATTGGTCAAGAGTTAACGAAGATCATTGGGAAATGGACGTGCATGCGTACGTAGATACTGTACATCCCAAGTTCCAGGAATGATTTCCCACTGGAGCTTATACGTATATTATTGACTAATAAAATGGGTAGTTATTTTTGGTGCAAATCACCTAGTCGAGTAATTACAGCTGTTTTCAAAAAGGTGTGAACAACGACTCCCACATACCTATGTGGGAAATCGAAGAATTGGGAGTAAAAATTGAAGATCCGATTAGAGTTGGCTTTGAAAGTTTTGGAAATCTGGGTAATTTCGTGAATTTCCCGTGAT